GTATCTGAGGCCTGTCCACCATGGTTTACCCTGCTGGTATTTAAAATACTGGTGGCATAGTTTGTAGAATCACAGCAACACTCAGGTCATCACAGTAGGACAAACTGATAGACAGCAGCATTTAACAGCAACAGATTTAAAATCACCATTCATCTGTTAGTTTGTTGTACATTGGTGGTTTGCATGTTGCTGTAATGTTGTAAGCTATGCCCCTGGTATTGTAAATACCTGCAGGATCACACATTGTGGGCAATTTTAAATGGAGCTTTCAGACTAAGACAAACTAGAGAGAAGGAGAGGTAGACGTCTTCCAGTGTTTAGCCACTGAAAAACCATATGGATAGCAGCAAAACATTGCTTGATGTGATGCCAAAAATTAGCACCTCAGGTTGGAAGGTGCTCAAAATATGACTGGGGAAGAGCTACCGCCCTCAAAATAGAGATGATCTTAATGACATGAATGGAGCATATCTCCTGGGAACTTCATTTGCTCGTGGGGTGCAATTCAAAATGAGAAAAAATAGCTGTAAACATTCATTAATAATCTGAATGTGGAATGTATGAAGTATAAATCTAGGAAAACTAGAAGCCTTTAAAATGACCTTAAATGTATGTAGTTTGATATTCTAGGCATTAGTGAGATAAAATGGACAGATATTGACCATTTGATTCAGACAGTCATATGTTTTAATATGAAGGGAATGGCATATAGAAGTAGAATGATATCACATTCATTATCAAAAAGAGCATTTCAAGACTTATCTTGAAGTACAATGCTACCTGTGATAGGTTAATATCCATATACCTTCAAGGAAGAGTAATTAATGCCACTATTATGCAAATTTATACAGCAACCTAAAAAGCCAGTGGAGATTAAATTGAACAACAAATACCACCAACTTCTTCAGTCTGAAACTGATCAAACATGCAATCAAGATTCATTGGTCATAACGTAATTGGAATGTGAAAGATGGAAACAAAAATGAAGGCTTAGTAGTTGGAAAATATGGCTTTGGTGGTAGAAATAATGCTAGAGATCACAAGATAGAATTTTGCAAGACCAGGGACTTATTCGTTGCAAATAACTTTTTCCATTAATATAAATGGTGACTGTTCACTTGAACCTCATCATATGGAATAAAGAGGAAGCAAATTGTCCACATCTGAGAGCAAAGATGAGGGAGAAGCTCAGTATGATCAGCCAAAACAAAGCCAGAGACTGACTGTGGAACTGACCATCAGTTACTCATATACAAGTTCAGGCTGAAGCTGAAGAAAATTAAAACAAATCCATGAGACCCAAAATATGACCTTGACTATGTCCTAAATGAATTTAGAGACCATCTTAAGAAGAGATTTGACATAGAAGACACTGCTGTTGGGTGCCTTCCAGTTGGTTCTGACACATAGTGACCCTATGGCAATGGAAAAAAGACTGCCTGTTCCTGTGGCATCCTCATAGTTGTCGTTGCGCTTGAACCCATTGCTGCTACCACTGTGTCTATTAGTCTTTTTGGGAGTCTTACTCTCTTTCACTGACCCTTCACTTTACCAAGTATGATGTCCTTCTCCAGGTAATATGTCTCAAGTATGAGAGATGAAGTTTTACCCTCCTGGCTACTAAGAAACATTCTGGCTATACTTCTTCCAACACAGATTTTTATATTCTGGCAGTACATGGTACTTTTAATACTCTTCTCCAACTGCATCAGTTCTTCTATAGTCTTCCTTAATCATTGTCTGACTTTTCACATGCATATGAGGCTATTGAAAATACCACGGTTTGGGTTAGGCTCACCTTAGTCCTCACACCAACATCTTTGCTCTTGAACACTTTAAAGAGGTCTTAGAAGATTTATCTAGTGCAGTATGTTGTTTGATTTCTTGACTTCTGCTTCCATGAATGTTGATGGTTGATGTGAGTAAAATGAAGTCTTTGACAACCTCAGTCTTTTCTCCCTTTAGCATTATGTTATTTATTGATACAGTGGTGAGAATTTTTGTTTTCTATGCTTTGAGGAGCAACGCTTAGTGAAGTCTGAGGTCTTTCATATTCATCAGTACATATTTTAAGTCTTCTTCATTTTCAGCAAGCAAGGTTGTATTATCATTTTCAGCAAGCAAGGTTGTACTTCCTTCAGATTGAAGAAAGATTTGCTCAGCATACAGATTGAATACGTGTGTTGAAATGAATAAAGCTCTGGTACACACCTTGCTAATTTTAAACCATTTCATATCCCCTTTTTCTGTTCAAATGTCCAGGTTCCCTTTGAGTGCAATTGTACTGAAATACTCTTTCTCACAATGTTACCCAATGCTTGTCATGATCCACACAGTCTGAAGTCTTTGCATAGTGAATAAAACAAAGATAAACATCTTTCTGATATTCTTTGCTTTAAGACAAGATTCATCTTATATCAGTGTGATAACCCTCTTTCCACATCCTCATCTGAATCTGGCATGAAGCTCTGGCTGTTCTCTGTCAATATACTGTTTTAAAATTTTATATAACAGAATTTTACTTGTGTATGGTATTAATGATACTGTCTGATGCTTTCCCTTTCTCTGGATCACTTTGGGTAGTGATAGTTTGGCCAGGTGACTGTCCTCCAGATTTTTTGGCATCGGTTAATGAGTACTTGCAGTGCTGCATCAGTTTGTTCAGAGATTTCAATTTGTATTCCGTCTATTCCTGGAGCAATGTTTTTTGCCAGCGCCTTCAGTGCACTTTTGACTTCTTTCAGTAACATTGGCTCTTAATCATATGCTACCTCTTGAATTGGTTATGTATCAACCATTTCTTTTTGGTACAGTGCCTCTATGTATTCCTTCCATCTTCTTTTGATGCATTCTACATTATTCAGTATTTTGTCCACAAGTCGAGGCTTAAAGTTTTTGTTTAGTACTTTCAACTTGAGAAATGCTGAATGTGTTCTTCCCTTTTGGTTTTCTAACTCCAGGATTTTTGCAAATTTTGCTGCAATACTTTGTCTTGTTGGGATGTTAGTTGAAATTTTCTGTTCAGCTCTTTTACATCCTCACTTCTTTTACAGCCTCATTGCTTTAGCAACTCTGCACTGGAGAACAAATTTCAGAATCTCTTCTGACAAATGTTTTTGCTTTTCCTTTATGATGTCCTTGGTATCATCCCACACTCCTCTGGTTTTCAGTCATAAGTGTCTAATGCATCAAATCTGTTCTTCAGATGCTTTCTAAATTCAGGGTGAGATATGTTTAAGGTTGGAATCTTGGTGTGGCGCTGTGGGTTAATACACTAGACTACAAAATTGGTGTGAACTGCAAGGTCAATGGTTCAAGTTCACCCGCCACTCCTCAGAAACCCTATACACGGTCGCTGTGGGTCTGAACTGACTGGACAGCACTCAACAACAAAATGTTATCTTATTTAACTGACATGGACTTGTTTCAGTTTTCTTCAGCTATAATCTGACTGATGGTCTGTTCCATAGTCGCCTCTGGCCTTCTTATGGTTGATGATGTGGAAATTTTCCACCTTTTCTTCTCATTGTTGTTGTTGTTAGGTGCCATCAAGTCGGTACCAACTCATAGTGACCTTCTGCATCACAGAACAAAACACTGCCCGATCCTAGGCCAACCTCACTATTGTTGCCACGCTTGAGCCCATTTATGCTACCACTTTGCCAGTCCATCTCGCTGGGGGTCTTCCTCTTTTCCTCTGACCCTCCATCTTACCAAACATGATATCCTTCTCCAGTGATTGGGCCCTCCTGACAATATATCCGAAGTATGAGAGATGAAGTTTGGCCATCCTGGCCTCCAAGGAGCACTCTGGCTGCACTTCTTCCAACATAGATCTGTTGATTCTATGGGCAGCCCATGGCCCTTTCAATATTCTCCTCCAACACCCAGTGATACTGAAGGAGGAAGTCCTAGGTGCACTGAAGAATTGGTAAAGAATAAGGCACCAGGAATTGATGGAATAAAATTTGAAATCTTTCAAGAAAGTGAGGCGGCGCCGGAGGCACTCATTCATCTATGCCAAGAAATCTGGCTGACTGATTGGAAGAGATCCGTATTTGTGCCCATTCCAAAGAGAGGTGACCCAACAGAATGTGGAAATCATTGGACAATATCTTTGATATCCCATGTGAGTAAAGTTTTACTAAAGGCAATACAGAAACGGCTACAATCATATGCTGACAGAGAACTTTCAGAAGTTCAAGCTGGATCCAGAAGAGGCCATGGAAAGAGGGATATCATTGCTGATGTCCGATGGATCTTGGCTGAAAGCAGAGAATATCAGAAAGATGTTTACCTGTGCTTTATTGACTACACAAAGGCTTTCGATTATGTGGATCATAATAAGCTATGGACAACATTGTGAAGTATGAGTATTCCGGAACACTTAATTGTGCTCATGAGGAATCTCTTCCCATAGATATAGTGAATTTTATTTCTATGTATTCTTTACTATTAAAACACTACCATCCAAAACCCAGAGAAATTGTGAAATGACATCAAGAGCATCATATAGAAAGCACTCAAAAGGTTGCTAAAAAAGACATGAAAGCAAGAAAACATCCCTGTGGACATCAGAAGAGACTCTGACATTTGCTCTTGAGCATAGACAAACCAGAGTAGCTAGAATAAATGAGGGTATAAAAGAGTTGACCAGTAAAAGTGCCAACTCAGTGACACCTTGTAACAATTGTGGTGATGGTTGGTGGTTGTATGCCATGGAATCGGTCCCAACGCATAGTAACCCAGCATAGGGTTGCTGAGGCTGGAAATCTTTATGGGAGCAGAAAGCCTCATCTTCTCCCATGGAACGGCTGGTAGTTTCTTCCTGTTGACATTAATAGGTTAGCAGCCCGACTCTTAACCACTATGCTACCAGAGCTCCTTAGCCACAGTAATAACACAGATTAAAAAGAAAATTAGAAATGGATTGCTTTTAGGAAAATTGGTCTTACTCAAAATGTTTAAGATAACAGGTTTACTTTGTTTTTACTTTTTAGGGAGATTTCACACAAATGGAGTCTTAAACAGATAGGAGAACACCTTCTACTGAAAGCGTAAGTGTCAAAAGTGGTAGTTCTATTGGAAATGTCCGTAATTGTTTTAATGCTAGAATTAAAATAGTAATCTTATTTAAAAGTGAAGGAAACTAGACAATAAAATACTCCAAACACAACATTACATAAATTTAGGCAAATAATACTACCTTTGAAATAAATTTTAGTAATTTTAGAGACTAGAATCGTTGCCTAATTCTACCTTTTGTTCTTAGAAAGTTAGCAGACACCTTTAATTTTCTTAACTTGAATTACAGTACATTTCCATTTTTATTTTTGTGTCATTAAGCAATGGTACAAAATTTATTTGTCTAAATAGTAATGAGCAATCCCAAAACCTTAGTGGCATTGAAATATACATCCGAAAGACAAAACAGTGAGTTTGCAATAGTGACCATTTTTATAGATGAGAAATTTTACTCTTTTTAATTTTTTTTTTTTTTTTTAGTACTATGAATTGGAAAGCTCTCTTGCATGCTCACGACTCTCACTGTGTGCCATTCCAGCACATTTTTTAGTGATGTTCCTTTCATTTTGAGAACCACCACTTACCAGGTCCTGGTCCATAAGGGTTGGTCAATCCCACCTTGATAATACTTTGAATAACTATGGTTTTCAGGTTGCAGAGTTATCGTATTGGTATGTCTAAACATTAGTGATAGGAAACAACTTTGTAAAACTGCCCAATGTGTATATATATATATATATATATAATAATAAAAGGAACTTCACTTGCATTGAAGGCTGGTTTCATTCGGCTAGGTTGGAAATCTGAGAATGAATGTTGATAATAGATAAGGTAATAGCAAAAAAGAAAATTTTTTGTTATATATATATCACTAAAAAATGTCACTCATCTGCAATTTTAATTATTGGATTTTTAAAATCATTAAGCTGTATTCACATATATGTTTAAACAGTGAATCCTAAATGAGCCTGCATTTACAAGTGTACAATGAAATGTTTTCTTTCCAGGCTGTAACTGTGTTGTTTTTAATAATTGTTTCATCTCTGATTGTTTAATCAAACATCCTGTATTATAGGTCTCTGATGTTAATACCATTAGACTATAGATATTAACTATGGAAAAGCCTTTAAAAAAGGACGATTCTAGTGTGAATATAAATTATGTTAATATAATAAAAAGATTAGTGAAATTATTTTGCTTCATTCTATTGACAAGCTTATTTTAACTTATACAGCCTAACTTACATGGTGGCAATGCCTTTCTATTCAGCAAGCTTAATTGAGACAGTACAGGTAAGCTATATTTTTTACTATCAGTTTTTAGTTCAAAATATATATTTTTTGGACATTCAGTATGTGGCGCTGTGGCCTAATGCTGCAAAGTCATTTGAACTGCAAGATCGGTGGTTTAAGCTCATCAGCTGCTGCTTGGAAACCCTATACAGGGTCACTATGGATCGGAATCGACTCAATGGCACTTAACAACACAACAAACATAGCAAAAATTTAAAACAATATACTTTCACAGATATTAGACATGTATCAAAGGTTATATACTATGCACATTGATGGTGTGTATATTTCCATGCAAACTTTTAACATTTCTACTTTTAATTCTTTATATCCCTTCCGTAGGCAACAATACTCGTCATTTTAGGTAGCTCGGATTCCTCAGTCTATGAATTGTTTTGAATCCAAAGAGTCTATAGTTCTTTCCAACTTTTTAAGGCTCCTGTAACCTCATATGCATGTGAAAGCTGGACAGTGAAAAAGGAAGACCATAGAAGAATTCATGCATTTGAGTTACGGTGTTGGAGGAGAATATTGAAAGTACCATGGACTGACAAAACAGCAAGCAGTTTTGTATTGGAAGAAGTACAGCCAGAGTGCTCCTTGGAAACCAGCATGGCCAGACTTTATCTTTCATACTTCAGATATACTATCAGAAGGGACCAGTCCCTAGAGAAGGTATCATGTTTGGTAAAGTGGAGGGTCAGAGTGAAAGAGGAAGAACATCAATGAGATGGATGTTGCAGCAGTCATGGGGTCAGGCGTAGCAGTGACTGTGAGGCTGGTGCAGGACCAGGCAGTGTTTTGTTCTCTTGTACATAGGGTCGCTATGAATCGGTACTGACTCAATGGTACCTAACAACAACATCAACTCAAAAGGTTATGGCATATAGTAAGACAACAAATTACTGAATCGCTGACCATAAAATACAATGACTAATCATCCTAACAATGTGCAGACATTCCGCATTTGTAGTCATCCTTAGCATTCTTTTTAATATGACTTTTACAAAACGTTTTATACCATATCTAAACCAAACCCACTGTCATCAAGTTGATTCCAACTCAGAACAACTGTTTAGTATGGAGAACTGCTCCACAGGGTTTCTAAGGCTGTACATCTTTACGGAATTAGACTGCCACATGCTTCTCCCATGGAGTAGCTGGTGAGTTTGAACCACCAATCTCAGTTTGAAGTCAAGCACTTAACCACTCTTCCACCAGGGCTCCTAAATGTACTGGTTTACTATCTCTGGCCACATGATGGCGCCTCAGGTACATTGAATTAAATGTCCTATGTTTTCTCACTTAATACTATCTGTGCTTATGCTTATATTGTTTATATATGTTTATATTAATATCACCTCTGTATGAAACCCAATTAATATATCCTTATTGTATCTCAATATTCTATGCCATATTAGATCCTCTAATATATATATGTTTTCATTGTATATTAGTGTCTTTTCTTGATAAAAACTACTGGCCAAAGTTGGACCTTCTAATTACTCTTTTCCATTTAGATTCTTTTCTGGCCACTTTTTTTTTTTTTTTTACTTCATGTATTAAGTTCTTGTTACCAAAATATGCTAGCATGTTTCTTTTACACTTGAAATGGATATTGTGTTAAAAATGGTATCTGACCTTTGTATGGTGTTAAGGAGCTCTGGTAGCATAGTGGTTACGAATCGGGCTGCATACTGCAAGGTCA